GTATCAAGCGGGAATTCTCCTAAAGCTTAGACCTGCCCTGTGTGAGCAGCGGGACCAGGCGCAGAAATTTCATGCATTTTGCCATTTTTATGAGTTTGTTTGACGGATGACGGCGCAGACGAGCAGAAAATGAACGTGTTTGGGCCCTGCTCACTGCGCCTCCTCGATTTGTCCCCCCCAACCGACCGCATCAGTGGCAAAATGCGCTTTTATGATAATCGGCACTAAAATCGTACACAAGCCATAAACGTGCTGTCGTAAATCTAAGTGGGCTACTTTATGGACACGTTAGGCAAAACTCCAAAACTTACCATCTGCTTGGCTGAGCATTCGAGGTATCGTAATGCATGAATCGAGTTTTTCAATCTTTGTCCGAGATCAGGATCGAATGCCTGAAATGATCGGATGTTTGCTGGAAGGAGTCTTCTTTGTTCGCTACAGATCCTGGGACGTGTCAGGGTTTGACGCGGCGCCAGACCGTTCTTCACCAACTGTTGGGATGGGCACGTGATAACAATAGGTGGATACTGGGCTGGCGTAGCGCTAAACCCAGCCCTTCATTGACACACCCCAGCATCCAAAGCGAACAAGTTTGTATATAGAGCTTATACGACTGTCACACATCGCTAGCACATTCAGCTCGCGGCGGCAAGAAGTGAAGTACAGCGCTGATGGTCCACAGAGTTGCACGGCTTACCCTCCACAATGTCCTCCCCTTGGAAATGCAGATCTTCGGTTTGCACTGGAGCGGTTCGTTTCCCGAGAATGTGCGCGCTCCTACTGGCATATTTGCGCCATGCGCGACGTGTGCTAGTAACATATGCTCACTGGACGAGTTTTCACAATAGATAACTAAGAATAAACTAACCGTCCTTAAGTCACATTTAGTCCGTACGAGAAATAATGGCACATGAGAGAAAAAGAGGTTAATTTTAGGAATACCACTGAAAAAGAGAATCGTTTCACAGTGCACCACTACTGTTTAAAAAGATGAAGCCTGACATTGATAATTTGTTCTCAGCTGCGCAATGAGTTTGTTTTATCTCTATCCCAATTATTTCCTATCTCTACTGCCTGCCATATTGGGAAGGGAAAGGATTTTATTCCCTGTCTCAAGACTGCCATGATGGGAGAGGAAGAGGTTTCAGACCGACGTACAGTCCATATCCGGGAGATGGCGAAGGCGTGGCTGCGTGCTTCATTGAAC